ATTTATTTTAAATTAAAAAATATATATCTTCTTAATTTAAAACTTTACATTTTTTTAAAATAATACTATAATTATTATTCAATTATTATTTTTTATCATACACATAAAAAGTACACGATAGATAAACTCTTTTTTAAAACACCTTCCAAGTTCACAGCCAAAGTATGTGATTAATATTGTCAACCACTAAAATAATTTAATAATATTTTTTTAATAGAAGTAAAAGATAAATGTCATTAATATTGCCAATAACTAAGATAATTTAATAATAATTTTCTTTGAATATAAATAAGAGGTTTTAAATTTAATTAGTCTAATATGTGAGTAAACTAATTTAAAAGAATGAAAGAACAATGTCTCTCATTATATAATTAAAGTAAAAAATTTTAAGTTGACCCTAATTTTAACAAGTAACTAATTAAGATTTTATTTTTTTTAAGAGTTCTTATTTTGCAGATATAACTACACCAGTTGTAAAATAGAAACAATTGTATAAAAGACGGCTGCTACAACAGAATGCAAAAGATGTGTGCTTGGCTGCTTGTTTTTCTTTCCCTTGGAGAATGCTTGGCTGCAAGTATTGCAAGAGCTGAACAATTTGTATTTTACTTTGAAATTTGGAGCTGCAAAAATTCAAACTTGGAACCTATAAACAATTTGTGGGCCTCTTGGATGCATGGTCCTAGAGCCTGACGAGAATGGACAATAAAGGGAGAAAGAATATCAAAAGGTAGGAAAGTGGAAGAATTCACAACAAAGCATCCACCTTTATGTGCCATAATAAAAAAATATAAGAGAAAGAATGGTGTATTGATTGTCAAATTATTGTATCAAGGGAATACAGAAAATTACAGTGAGGAAAATGTGTTCAATTTTGAATGGCAGATGAATAAATGTTAACAACAGCTGAGGCTGCCTAAACATGTGTTAACTTAGAGTTGCTGTTTATTATTAAGCTTCCTTTCTTCAGTGCATCAGGTGAAGTCAGTTGGCAGCTGTACATTCATCCCTTTCTATATTGTAGTCTCTAATAGAAAATTTGCTGGTTCACATTTGGCACTGTACCCAAACTTAGACGTGTTGTACTTCCTATGTACCCCTGTTAGTTTTCCAGTTGCCGCCTTCTGATGGAAAGTAACCATCATTCTTGAGCATTCCCTGCAATGAAAATAATCATCAGAAATTCAGAACCCTCTTTTTTTGTAAAGTATTTCACCATTAACAGTGGTACTAAGACTCACAATAACTGATCTTCTGAGTAGCTGCTATGCCATTGACTTGTCTTGCTCCACTGCTTGACTCCATAGAGAGAACATTGAGCAGTATAGATAGCAGAAGCTGCAAGTAATGATGGAGGGAACTTGAGCATCTCATACTCCACAAGTGCTAGTTCAATCAAGAAGAAGGATAGAAGCTCAATCTGCTTTACAATGACACAAGTCATTCATTAAAATCAATGAACAGTTTAATGAATTTCACAGGCAGATAATGCTACTTGGGACTAGCTACTGATTACTTACTTTCTTGTTGGTTTGAGCAGCCTTGAGGAATCTCCTCATGAAAACATATGGGGTTGGAAACGACATGTTAAACTGCACTGTGTTGAGCATCATTCTCTCCTGCAGATTGTGAAATGAAGAATGTTAGAACACTTTTTCTTTTTCAAATTTAATAAAGAGAAACTTAGACTTGATTACCGTTTCCAGAACTTCTCTCCTATTATAAGCTTTGTCTGATATAAGGATTAGGTCTCCTACAACAGGAACAGAAACCTCCTCATACTTGCATGCCAAGAGCATAGCAACCAAGCCAACCAACTGAAGCTTTTTTCTCACAACTGTTTGCTGGGACAAAAATCTGTCTATGAGATTAACAGTAAGAAACAATGTCTCGCTCATGAGGTCAAATTTGTCGTGCACCTGTTTGATTTTCACAAGCCGGAAGGATACTTAGAGTTGGTGTTGATGGTTCTATACTTCAATACATTAGTAACATTTGAACCAAACCCAATTATTACTTTTAAGGCATTGGTTCAGTGGGGAAAGTTCCAATATACCTCGATAAGCCAGTCTATCAGTATAGCTCTCATCTTTTCATTAATGTCCAATTGTTGTGCCATGTAATGTGGGGAAACACAGCTGAGATTCTGCATACAATAAGTTGTACATTAGTCAACAGATTTAGGTGAATGCATACCTCATTACATACTCCAAAATAGGTCAATTGAATTAGTGCTTCACTAGGAAAAGCTAATAAATTTTCAACTTTCTTGATATTAAACCAAATTACACCGTATATTAATGCAATTCATGTGGTAAAAAAAATGAAAGGTTTCAATTTCCTTTCAACTTAGTGTTGCTGATGCTACAAGCATTGTTCTATGCATAGATGCAAAGAAGTTTAATTTACCTCCATTTTTCTATAGAATGCATATAAATCTTCAACATAATCTGTAACTGCAAGAGGATTTTTTGCATCTGGACTATCAATATCAATGATCGGCTCTTGAGTTACATCCTCCATTTCCACCTCCTCCTATCCAAATGGGATTGTCCATAATAAACATATTTTCAGAATTCGGCCAAAAAAAAAAAATCAAGAAAAAGGAAAAAAAGAGAGGGAGAAAATCAGATAAATACCATCTCATCTGTTTCATACAGGCTTGTTTCTGTTTCTTCTAAAAACATGGGTACTGGATAGTCCACAGGTGTCTTGTTCTCTTCTGCATCTATGAATATACAATCTCCAAACTCATTTGTGCTTGGGACTGATGGTTTCAGCTTCTTATTTTCCTGTTATCAAGATGGAAAACCCAGTACTTTAGAATTGTTTTTTTTTTTTTTTTTCTTTTTCCTTTCATCTTTTATCTTCTCCAGAAGAAAAAATGAGGTTCTGTGGTACCTCCTGGCAATGTTGTTGACTGCTACATATTTGTGCAGCAAACTTCCTGAAGAACAAAGAATTCAAACAAAGATTAAAACTTTGAAGCTAAGACACTTTAGATGAACATCTATACAAACAATTTACTTTGATTTCCAAGTGGATAGAAAGGCACTTCAATCAATGCCACACAGATCTAAGATCCAAAATTTGAACCCTTTTTTTTCTCTTTCCTACATTTTTTTTCTGTCGACCAACCCACCAAAAAGCAAACGGGAAAGCGAAATGCTGAAGTTCTAACCTCGTAACTCGCCTGTGCACCGGATTAGGCTGGTTTTCCTGCTCATGCTTTCTGTGCAAGAAAAAAAATTGTCAGATTATTTCCCTAGGAGGAAAAAAAAAAGCATCAAATTTGTCATTTCTTGGGTTGAGCAATTACTCTGATAATCCTCTCTTATTAACAACACAAGGATATGCTTGTGCTCCCACCAAACTCTGATTAATCACACTCAAAGCCCTCCTTGTGGATCTAATCTCCTGCCCAAACTTCGTACTCTCCATAACTGCGCCTCCTTTTTCATTTTTTTTTTTTTTTAAAACCCACGTTAGATCAAATGAAGGGTTTAATAAAAACCCATTTCATTTCAGCTCTGAAAAGAAAAAAAAATCACATTGAGTTTACCTTGAAAACTTGTGGGTTTGACAATATGAGGATGATTCTCATTGTACAGATCCATTTATGTAGATTTATGGAAAGAACAGGATGCCCACTTCTGAAAACAAGAAAAATGCAGGGGACCCTTTTTGAAACTAAACGAGGAGGAGCATTTAAAGGAGTGAAGCTGCCTGAATCTATGAACAGGAAAAGATAGTAGAGAGCAGACGGAAGCAAGCAAACGGTACTTTTGTCTGAAGCGAGAAAAAGAAGGAAAGTTCCCCCCCTTTTTCAAAACTAAACGGCTAGTGAAATGTGACCGTTAGATCATGTGGACTTTCCACGTTTGAGGTTGACAACGGTCACCTAAGTTGTCATGTGGCGTGCCGCACCTGATTCATTTCAAAATTACTTGATCTCTTGCGCCAAGGCGCTCATGCGCTCTCCTCCACTATTGGTAGGGTCTCTGCTTCTGCAAAAATAGATTTTTTCTTCTTCTCCTTCTTTTTCTTCTTTTTTTTCTTGATGGTAGAGGTTATAATCTTTTATCTCTTATCTCATCCTACTTGTATATCATACGATTCGAACTTAACCTCTTATTTTCAACAAGAAAGGATAACTATTGAGTTATTTAGATGGTTGGTAGATTTTTTTTTTTAATCCTGTTTTATATTGCAAAATTCATAAGTTTTAGATAAAAGAATACTCTAATATTAAAATATTTATTTTTTATTTAAAAATTTATCTTTTATGGTGCAAGTTTGTCAATAATTTTTTGTTTTTCTATTAATTTTATAAATCCTCTATTATATGATTTTTTTTTTCAATTTGTGTTCTTAAAATTATTATTAAAATGAAGAATTGGGTCTTTATGCACATGATTTTTTAGGTGAGAGCACTCCAACAACACCTACGTCTTTCATTTTTTTGCGGGTGGTGATACGAGCATCATTTTTTTGTCTCATTTTTTTATACAACTTTCACATATCATCAAATGAATAAATACATTTAATATCATACATCTCACATGAATTAAAAAAACTAATCATTTTAATGATATATTAGTTATACAAAAAGTGAGACAGAATGATTGTCCCAATAGCATTTTTCTTTTTTTCTAAGTATATTAGATAAAATTCATTCATTAGAATAAATCTGATATGTTTTTATCTTAAAAAAATAGATTTAATTTAATGCACATAAGTTAATTAG